ACTGCATCTGTGGTACATGCATGGGGCCTTCCCAAGAGAGGTGTACCAAAGGAGAAAGGTAACATACTTGTGCTTCCACACTGTAAGCCTTAAGTGACTGACACACCTAGAGGAGAACTTAAGTATAGTGTATTACACATTGTAATTCAATATATGGTACTTTGTAAGAGAAGAACAAGTTAAAAAAAACCCGTGTGCTTGGATTTGTCTTCTAAATATCATATATGATATTTATGATGCATACTTATATGTAAACAACACACACATGTAAATAACACAGAGATGCCAAGAAACTTAAATTTGAGATTTTAAAACATACCATCAGGCTTCATCCTCATCTTAAAAATCAGTCATCCAGGATGGTTTTTTTAAATCTCTTCCCAAATTTAAGGGAGGAGGGAAACTTTCTTACTTTGTCTTGAGAATAATAATAAAATTTCAGGTTGCTTCAAGATATCTAAGTGACCTACCAGGCTGAGATAAATATTTGAGGTACTGGTAAAGTTACAGCCTCAATCTTACATAGAACTTACGTAGTAGTTTCTAGCTCGTAACATTTCAATACACTTAAAGGTTAAAGCTGTGTCAGTTATGTAAAGATACTTCAGGTTATTTTTAAAGGGAAAGTAATGTTGACACTGACTGCTTGTCCTGCGCATTGTATTCTGTGACAGAAACAGCCTTCGTATTATCAACACTTGTGATTTCCTTACTGGTTGAAATTCTGGACTTCCTGAAGTCCCCAGGTGTTTGCTCACATAGCATGTCATCTTATCACATAGATAAATACAAAGTAAAAATACCTCCGAAATATTATTAGTCATTGTTAATATTTTTTTGTTATTTTAACAGGCCTCCATGAAGCTGATAATACAAGCACCTTAAAAAGCAGCTTAGTCACTGTAACAGATTGGAGTGATTCTTCAGATATATAATTCCTGCATGCCTGATGGGAGGCACTGCTGTCGGGTTCTTTTGGGGTTGAAAATGTAGTTGAAAACATCAAGTGTTTCCTAGTCATTTCTCATATTGGTCATGTGATAACAAGCAACCTTGTTTACAGAGCTCTTGCATCTTTCAGTCCCAAATTTGAAACAGGACTATTCATATACACAGTACTGGCCGTGGAAATTGAGAGTTCGTTCTTCTTTCTCGTGAACTCAGAAGTGAAAATCTCTTTGATTTCACCGAGGTGAAGATTTTGCCTCTAATGTTTACATTAAAGTTGAAACTGGTCTTGCAAGAAAGCCTGTTAACCAATGAACAGAATTTACTCCAGAATATTACTTCATAAATTTTTAAATGCATATTTTCATGTATTTTATCATAAACTTTATATAAAGTTGTAAACATTTTAAATAAAATATGTCCATGTATTAAAATGTTAAGTTTCTAACATGGTTTACAATAAACACCAAATGAAAAGAAAAAAAGGCCTCCGCTATAAAACTAGTTATTATTAAATGCTTCCTTTTTTGGGAAATTACTCTTTTTTTGCAAGCTACTCTTTTGAGAATATTTTAGGAAGTTTTTGGTTTTTTTTTTTAATTAGAGTTGAGTCTTAGTTGACATAAAAGCACAAAAATTGGAAAAAACCCTCCAATGTCAGGCTGAGGTGAGGAAAGTACCGACCTGCCATTGCGCAAGTCCTTTCATATTTCTGTTTTGTCCGTATTGGCTGCCTTCTTAAAAACCCATAATGTTGTTTTGACTTAAATGAAATCAAGGCTCTTTTTACTTTGTTTTTGTAATGGCTTTGTATTTTAGATGGTATCAGATGCAAAACCTTTTCTGTCATCCTGTGCCTGTTAATAAATAAGACTGTTCATTTTTTATATAGAATCCTAGAATCGTTAAGGTTGGAAAAGATCTCTAAGATCATCAAGTCCAACCGTCGACCCAACACCACCATGTCTACTAAACCATGTCCTGAAGTGCCACGTCTACATGTTTTTTGAACACCTCCAGGGATGGTGACTCCACCACCTCTCTGGGCAGCCTGTTCCAATGCCTGAAATATTTCCATCTTTGTCCCAAAATAACCCGTGTATTGAAACTCCAAGGGTCCAGCAGTTCAAACCTCAGGACAGATCTGAGTGTGCGTCTGATTTTTGAGTCTCAGTCTAGAAAGCATTTTGTGGTTAGTCACAATCTCTGATCTCATTTATTGACTCATTGTACAAATATTCCCTCAAAAGCCATCACATTTCTGCGAGCAGGTAAGAAAAAGAAAGTACTAGCTGAATTTTTGAACTGTTGTAACTAATTCAGGATTAGCTAAAAAGTGCTGCTAAGTATTGCCTGCGTTTATTTGGTCAGCCCTTCAGGAACGACATTGGCAGAGCTGGTATTGCCAGGGGTTTTTCCTTCCCTTCCCTAGCCCAGCGCCTTGGAGCCATTCTGGAGCTGAAGGTGCCCAGTGGGAAGGAACGAGAATGACCTACTGGAAGCGCTGAGGCAGGGCGGGAGCCCAGCGGCGTGAGGCCAATGCAGAATGTGGGACCAGTCTCCAAGCCGCCTTTTGCCCACCACATGACTCCCCAGAGGCTGGAGCCTCAACCTTCCCTTTCCCGGCCATGCGTGCGAACACGCACGATCAGGCGCGTTCTTCCTGGACTGTGCCAAGACGGGTTTTCCTAACAACTGGCCCTGACTCTCCCCAGTACCTGCTCCTGCCTCCCCAGACCCCGTGCTTATTTTCACTTCACCCAAGCTCTTCCTCTTCTTAGTCCTGTGGCACCAAATTGACCAAGCTGCACGTTCTTCCACCCCGGCAATGGGACGCGGAGGTTGGAGCCTGCTGATTCCCCCGACTGTCGTGGTCCGGCCCTGCGGTTACCATGTGCTCTGCAGTGCCAGTGTTGCTGCTGATCAGTGGTGAGGTGTTTTACGTGCTAACCTGCAAAGAGTATGGTCCGTTGCCGTCAGTATGACGTGTGTGACGCCATTCCCATAAGCAACTGACATACTAATTGGTAAATACCCCATTTATTTTTTTTTTTTCAAGAAAGCAACATCAGCTCATGATTTCCAGGTATAAACTTTACCAACATCAATCTTAAAATATTATATAATAAAATTTACATCAATACGTAAAAAGCTGCAAGTTAATGTTTTAAAAAGTCATTGTCTTAGTGGTAATTACATTGGGGGTGAGGGGAAGAAATCACTCTGAATGAAACATATAAACTCATCTTTAAAACGCTTTGAACCTTCCAACAGTACAATTAAACATAAGCGTTTTTGTCAAAGTGCTTTGGTGGGGTTTTGTCTGGGACACTGTTGTGGACCTTTGTACGAGAAGACATCACAGATGTGGCTCCATTATAGGCATACCCCCTCCTGAAAAGAAAAAAAGAAGCAACCACTTAGAGCTCATCCCACAGACTGGTAACATCTCTCTATCCAAGCTCTACAGCAATATAAAACTAGAAGAAATGTATAGGAACTTACCTATACATTTCAGGGGAGGAGGCAGGGGGGACACCTTCCTTCCCTGTGTGGTCTCATTCTGGTTTGACATCCCTTCTCCAGCATCTCTCTTTGCAATTCACTTTTCTATCAACGCGTATCCCTCGTTCACAGCTAAGTAAATTAGGGCCCAATCATGAAATATTTTGGCTGTGGCAGATCCTAGGTGAACAGTTACTGCCCCCAGCCGTGCCTCTTCGTTACCACCCCTCTTCTGCTGCTGGAGGTCCCACTCCCCCCCACCACTGTCCTTCACCTCTCTCACTCTTGGTCTGATGATCTGGGATTAAAGAAACTTGTTTATTCACACCTGTAAAGTCACCTGATCGCTTTTCCTACATGAGTGTATGCATTTTTTTCCAGCTGTAGTAAATTTATGCAGTATATGTAACAGAAGTATTTGTTCTAGTCAATAGCTTTTCTTAATTACATTAATGATGGAGAGAGCGTCATCCTTAAATCCCATTATTTTCTTTCATCCACGCAATGTTTTTCTGAACCTCACTAAAAAGTGTTTTGGAAAAGTAATTGAGCCACATACAAATGCGCTACTATTGGTTTCTTTCAAGAAGTACAACTCGTGTTTTACCTTGGAGAATTACTGTTTTCGGCTATTGAGAAGCAGAATATACTGCCACCAATTATGCAGAGTGAAGCTCCAGCCCATCCAATGAACAAAGCTGCTCCTAATTCATACCTACAGGAAGTTAATAAATGGGTTTAACAAAAGAGAGCATGAATTTAACAGTTTTTCAGAATAAAAGAACCAGGGTTGGGGCTTTTTTTCCTGAATAACTTTCCATTGACATACATGTTATCGCAAAATCAGCAGCTCTGCCTTTCACCCATGTTCTTTTCATTATTTCCCTCTTTTTCAGGAGGCAAACTCTGTTCCTGCACTACACTTGGGCAATGCTTATCTCTGTGCGCAGCCAGCCGGGGTACCTTGCCTTTCCACATCTCCTCCCAAATCGCTGGGCTGCGGGGTGACACGATTCTTTGTCCTGTTTACAGCGCACGGCTCCTGTCCCCTTGGACCATTTCAGGGTTGTTCCCGCTGCCTCCCAAGCTGGACTGGGGCTTTCACTGAGCCGGTGACCACAGCTGCTGCCTACAACTCCCTCTTAACACTCCAGCCTGCTTAAATCATGAGGGTTTTGTACGTATATATAATATGCATATGCAATATGTACACACGAACATGTAATATATGCATATGCATATAAAGACATGCAAATGCATGCATGCATATGCAGATGTACACATGTATACACGTGCGTGTGCCAGCAACTTTCTGCTTCTCTCGTCCCTGTGGCTGGATTTAGGCTGGAGGACACCGCTCCCCTCCGAGCCCTTGGGTCACCAGCTCCAGGTCACCAGCAATGGTTGTGTCTGCTGCCCGGGGCAGCCACCAGTTGTTTGCAGCCAGAAACTGCTCGCTTTGACTTCGAGAGGAGATGGTGGTGCTTTAGGAGCATTATCACCCAAGGGTAAGGCTAAGTTTCTAAAGCAAGAGTAGTAAATGAAAGAAAAGAAGGGCGTGGGGAAGACATTCTTTTCCTCACCCTGCTTGAGCTCAGTGCCCTTAACCTGAGCTCTGGAGCTTCAAGATGAGCAGCAAGCCACGGCTGCCACTTGTCTTCTCCCTTCTTCAGCTCTTTGCCCGAGGTGCCGCTCTTTAAAACACTTTCAAGACGACCTGTATTAGACCGCAGGCCCAGCAGTCTCCAGAATCTCACATTCCTCACTATTAGGACAGACTGTGTGTCTCCTGCTCCAGTTCCTCCTTGAGGAAACCTTTTATCTCCTTCTGACTCTTAGGACCCTGAGTTGAAAACACAGGTCCCTGTCCCCCTGTTATCGCTCAGGTGGCTGAGCTGTTCAGGCCTTTGTTAGTGACAATGACTTCTATAATAGGTCACAAGGGGGTAAATGATGGCTGGAAAACAACAACAACAACAACAACAAGGCTTTTCCATGTTTTCTTGAGATTGTACCCAGAGGTAAAGCACAGACTTTAAAAAAAAAAAAAAAAAAAAAAGTCACACAGGAAGAAAAAGCCACACAGAATATCCGTGCTTTGGCATTTGCCTAGATGCTATGGAGACACACCCAGGGTCAAGACGGACACCCAGGTTCAAGTCATTTCTGACTTGGGGACTTACTGCCAAAAAGAGATGGAGCCATTAGAGCTCAGAGGCAGCACGCTTGGTGAGGGCTTGCACCTGACTCTTCATGGCTCTGCTAGTGCTCTAACTTCTAGGCTTCTTTTTCATCTTCCATTCACATCATCCAAGTAGGTTTTACTTATCATCACTTGCTAAAAAAGCATCAGATTCCCCAAAACGTTCTCTATATCCAGTGTGGGACTTAGGCACCCAACCCCCCAAATTAAACTGCTGGAAACCATAGCTCAGCTGCCTTTCACCCTGGAAAACTCTGCACCCAGACGCACCTGGCTTCACAAATCTGCCAAACCTGTGAAGCTTTAACTCTAACAATGCTCACGTTTCCAACTGTGTGCTACAGTTTTCAGAAGACTGGAGCAGATTTCTGTCTGTTCAAGGACTGGGTGTTCTCCGATTAGAAGCAGATCTCTACATGAGAGTTCATCATCTAGGATCCCGTTACAGCCAACACGCAAGAAATACGCACAAAGTACACTTCTGAAATATGACTCACACCATCAAGGCACCTCTTTTAACGAGCTGTAATGGCAGATCAAAGCGACTAACTCTGACGTGAGCCCCATCCTGGGGATCCCTCCATCCCTGCAGGTACTGCCAGAGCACACCTAAGGTATATGGACCAGGGTTAGGCTCCCTACCAACGTGGACCGCTGCGGTGCTGGAGAACACAGCTGGGCGAAGGCCCACGCAGACTGCTGCTCTAACAACTTATTTGCCAAGACTTTTGCCTAGAAAGTGGGGAACACAAGTTTGTTTCCACATTTCCATTTAACACCATTACATAGTTGGCTTGAGGCTAATGTGAGAAAGAGACGGAGACCAACTGCCATCTCCCCTCCTGAAGCTCTTCAGTTGTACGGAAAAGAAATGAGGATTCCGTTGGATTTAATTGGGTAGATAAGGGTTACCTGACTGTTGCCTACTAGCCGGGAAGGAAGACATGGGGTCTGGCCTTTGTTCTTGGGATTGTTTGTAGTCTTTAAGCAACATTTGTTACTATAACACGTATAAACACATTGCATGTATGGACCTTTCTCGGGTGACTGCCACACCACTAAGTTAATGAGTTGCAGAGATGGCCTAATTGGTCTTCCCTCCACATCTTTCAACAGATAAAAGACTTTTTGATTTATACTGGTGCTTAAGAGGAAAACTTCTAATTTTCAACTGCGTATCAATGTGTGTATGGCTCCCTGGATTTTATCCATCTTTTCAGAATTTAAGAAGCCAACCCTAACCTCTCATCAAAATCCAGTATGTAAAAAACCCTTATCATATGAAAAAAACCCTTACATACATTGGTACCTCCAGAAAAAAAGAAAAAAAAAAAGGAGAAAGGCTTTTTTAGAAGACATTTCCACACTTGCTGTTTTACCCTTCCCTCTTTATCATTAAAGTCTTTGCAGGAAACACACTCTTCCATTCTTAACAATTCTTGGTTGCAAGAACCAAAGCAGCCACTCTCCAAAGTCCGTGGCTGCGCATCTACTGTCTCCAATCAGTGAAACCAATCTTGGAGATCGCTGGGGGGAGTGGGACACTGATGAAGAGGCTACAGGTGGTGACCGCTGAAGACTAAGAGAGTTCAACTGCAGAGAACTGAAAGTCACCTTCAACTACACTGACCAAGCAGGCTAAGAGCAGAATTTTTACTCTAATCCAGGGAGGCAGAATTCAGTGAAATGAAGAACATATGATATCAGTACAGAAGAAAAATATTCTAGTTGTTACATACATTAGGACCATGAAGTAAATTTCCAAGCAAACCACTGGAAGCTTCATTAGCTGACTGGATGTTGGCACACATAAAGGGCATAGCTACCTACTCAACAAATAAACATAACTACCCCAGGGAAATGCACATTTTGAATGTCTAAGTCTTCTGATTCTTGGAAAATGAAAAATAGATTAAAATGTAGCAGCGGGGCAGTGGAAAGAGGGCCTGTGTGAACTGTGCACAATCCATTCAGAGACGAGAAATATGAAGAGAAACAATTCTCTATACAAAAGAATGGGTTGTTAGTCAGATAATCTGGATAAACTAATCCCACTCATCACTAAGAATGATCATGATTAGGGAGTTCAAAGTGTGGCAAGGGACAAAAAGGATAGCCTATAAGAGGGTGGGGTTTTTAATTAAGAGTAGTAAAGTGACAAAGTAGTTTCCTAAGAGAAGATGCAGGAGCAACATTAGCAAGGGAGCAAAGCAAAAGCACAAGTTTTCTCCTAACAGGTGTCTGAAGAGAAGTTAAATCCACCCGGCTGCAAGCGCCAAGGCGTCCCATGCTGTCCCAAAGACTCTGCGCGTGTTATCACATAGGGTCAAACAATTCCTTTGGAGCTGTTTTAAACTGGCAATACAAACTGTGGCATCTTAGGCATCCAGCCCAAGATTTCTTTCTACCTAAGGCAGGTTTCAGGGTGTCCCCATGGTAGCTGCCATTCCTCAGTTAGATACATAAATTCAAACCAGAAGTTTCTTGAGCAATAGCTTTAGGCAGGTCTCTGATTCCTCCTGCACCCATGCATATTCAGGGTGCCTCTTCCAAATGCAGAAGACTGGAGGGAAACTGTGATGGCTGAGACGACGCTAAACATCTCTTGTCGTCCACTTTCCGTTAACAGTATCTCAAGCCTGTCTTTGACACCACCAGAATAACTTCAGGAGAAAAATGTCCGGCAAAAGGTGAAAGGTTGGCACCCAAAGCAGCACTCTCTCTCAGTGAAGAGCCAATGCCAAATTTCCACAATATATCCGCAAAGCACATTAAATGCTGCTGTCTGCAATGCGTATCAAAGAGTTCAGAGAAGGCAATGAAATACATTACTCCAACATATTTTACATTGGTTGAAAGGAGACGAATGCCACTACTAGCTTAATCTGACACAAGGTCACTGCAGGAGCTACACCGCGCCCAACTCAAATTACAACTTCTGGCTCTCCTCTCTGCCTTTATCTTTGTAGTCGTGATTATGTGTGCATGCAGTTGAGCTATGCTGGTTGTTCGGGAAAAAATAATTTCTGCAGAGGACATTTTACTACCTTTATTTGAATACTTAAACTGAACTACTCATTTGCTCTCAGTAAAACTCCGCTGTGAGGTCTGCCTGCTCTTTTGGAGCAGAACAGCGTAGGAATACAGTGTAGGAAGGGGACTTCTGGCAACAACCATGGTATTTTTCACTAGGAACAGTAAGCCTGATGAATAATTAACTTCTGGCTATATAGCCAGGCTCCATTTTCTTCAGAGTACCTCACATCTTTGTTTCTTTTGGAGGCCTTTGGATCCTGTTCTCACCACATCAAACAAGCAGAAACTGTTGCAGAATTATGGAGGAAACTAATATGAACTTGTTTCCAAGAAGCAGTGTCAGCCCTACCGCAAACGTAGATCCAGTTAACGTTATTTATTCAGATTATTTTCTTTCTATCAAGATGAAACAGAAAGGGTCAGGGTTCCTTACTGAGCCCTTACTTGGGTCTCAGGGAAATTTACACCCAATGCTTGACATATCCTGGAATCACCACCAATAAAACTTTGAAATCCTTGTCTTTAAAGATAACTTTACATTATGTAAGAAGCCAAACCTAGGAAGTTTAAGATGCTGTAATTTGCAGCTAATGTTTTCAGACTTGGTGGATAAGGTGTGAATCCAAAATCCAAGCACTGGTTCATGAATTGCTGCCTGTGTAGGTCCTGAGAACTTCTACAGCTTTAAAGGGAGTCTTTACGGATGCTCAGTATTGCTGGTATGGATCCTGCAATTCTGTAAACACTCACTCCCTTAAATTTAATTACATGTATAGCCAAAGCATTTATGTTAGTGCTTATATAGTCATGGGTTATGATAAGATTTATGATCCAAATTTCAGTCATCTGGATTTGAAAATCTGTCAGCAAAAAGTCCACAGAGCCTGCAGAAACCTCTCTTCAAGAGGAGTCAAAATTGCACAGTGCTCGACACATTTATGGAAACCACTTTCTACCAAAAGCTTAAGGAAATAATTTTCTTCCTTTCCTATCAAAAGATGCGCCCAATGAGTACCTCTGTCTTGTGAAATCCTTTTTCTGCATCTCTGACATAAACACAAGCTTCACTCCTGATGAACCCCATTTGCTCTGCGGCAAGCGGGGCAGAACCCTGCCGAGCCACGACGAGCCTGGGCACAAAGATTACACAGGAATCACTGCACGGGAAGGCGTTCGGTCATTAACTTGCAGCACACGGTTACGACAGTTGGAAAATATGATTAAATAAAACTGCAGCCCACTCTCCTCCTCTGCCCAAGAGGAGAAGCACCTGCTCTCTGTCCAAATGGGCTCTGGTGCGCAGTATGAAACTTAAGGTCTACTTCTTTGTAAGATTTATGGGTATAGGAAAGTACTTACTTTTGTGCAACAAAAGAAGGATCAAAGAACTCAGACGTAATCCTGTTTGCATACAGGGAACAACTAGTCATAGAGCACAACCCTGAAAAGCATAAGACAAACCATTCAGTGGAGCCAGCAGAAGAGCTTTGGGCCTGACCCTGAAGCTAATGAAGTCATGGAGAATTGTGCACGGATTTCTGCGGAAAAGAAGCACCTCTGGTATGACTTCAAATACCTAAACTTAGAGAAATAAGGTATATTTACCAGAGAGTATGAAAATCAGTCCAGCTAAACAAGCTATTTTTGCTTTAGTCTGATCGGAGCCTCCGACTTTTGTACATTTCATCCCAACCAGTCCAAAAATGGCACCGAAGAAGCCCAGGCAGACGGCGGAGATCATCAGTCCTCTGCAGGCTTGGATGTAACCTGCAGCGAGAAAGAGTAAGGCTAACGTGAGAAATGGGACCACAACGGGACCACAGCTGTAGCTCCTCTCCCTCCGCGCAGTGTTAGGCATTCACTGTTGCAAACCGAATCAGATATCGGCTGGAGCAATGCCACCTTACCATTGACCGTGTTCTCCTAGGTGACGTATGCCCTTCACAGGGCATCATCACCGGAGCCCAGCTCATAAGAAACATGCTATGGCATTCAGGGTTACAAAAAATAATCCCGTGGCATTGGGTACAGTATCTGCAAGAGGTTGTACCCATGAGGTTTTGAAGAGCAACTCCACGTGGTCCGTGCAGTGGCTGTCACGGGTTGCAGAGCCACTACGCGTACACAAAGTGAGCCTTACGTGTCAGCCTTTTTGGGAATGTGTCGCAGATGCAGTATGAGTGGCAGCTGATGGGCAACACTGACCCTGCCTGGGGTCCCAGGCCTGCCTGAACACACCACCGATTTGACCTGGATCCACAAAGGCCCTCATTCTGCAAGGAAGTCAAACACATGCTCAGCTTCATGGACAGCAGTAACCTTCTGAGATAAACTACTGCCATACTGCCTGGACAAACGCGGCTGGCTTTAGCCACGAACCACTTTGCCATGCTGGCTGAGGCTGCTCTGAGCTGGACCCCCCAGGGGCGGGGACTTTAAGCAGGACAACGGGTTGCTTGGCCTCTTCTCCCTTCCCAGAATATCTTGTAATTGAAAGACTGTGATAATCTCATATCACTGTTTACAGGGTGGAACACTGCAATCTTACACAGCTGAATAACCATCACAAGATGTTTTTCTTCATAACCTGTTGTTACTTCCCATTTGAAATGAAAACGTACTCCCACTATTAGAGTAGTCATTCTTTTTGCTTTGATCTCCAGTGGGTGGAAATGTCGAGAGCTAAACCACGTTTTCATTGCCTACACCAAAGTTTATCTAATAACAAATAAACAAAAAAATCCCCCAAAAATCCTGCATAAAAGTATTTAATATATAGGAAATTAACATATTAAAACAGGAACTAGAGGGACATCTAATGAAAACAGAAGGCAGAAGATTCAAAACAGAAAGTGCATCTGTTCATACAACGAAGTTGTGGAACTCCTTTCCACAGGATATGTGGATGCTAAAGGTTCACAGAAATTCAAAAAGAGACTGGATACAGCTGCTAGCGAGAAATCTGTGTCTGGCTGGCAGGTCCTTGAGCTGCAGATGGCTATGACTCAGGCATGGCTGCCTTCTGCACTCCTTACTGCCTTACTTGGCCACTGCTGGAGACGTATCAGCTCCAGGATGACCTCTCTGTGTTTCAATCATGTTTCACAGCTTTGTGCAACAAGCAGCACACTAGAAGCACATAACACCCCGTTTTATCAGTCCTACTGAATTTAGGTGCTGTGCTGCACGTCTGCGAATGCAACGTACTGCCATTTATCTACATCTGTTGGTGTACACACAGGTTTCTCTCATTTGCAACGTTCTCCTGTAGCCCAACTGCTAAAGAAATACAATAATCAATGGAATAACTGCAACTGTCGTGCGACTCTCGTGTTGGAATATGAGAGAGTCATTTGTGCCTGTTGAAGTGCCTCTCGTTATCATTACGTATGTTAAGTGTGAACTGTAAGGTAGACTCCAATGGTAGAAGGATGAGCCGCCCTCTGGAGAAACCTCCTTTTCTCCATCCATGATAAAGGAAGCAGAGAGCCTCAGTGGACTCACAGTGAACAGCCAGATTGCAGTTACCCAAAATCAGGTGAGATGATCACCTTTCTCATCCAATCGGGCAGCGTAAAATTTCCTCAACAGTGACATAAAACCGTACTGCCAAACAGTTCAGTTCAAACCCGGGCGATAGGTACACCTCTGCTTTTGAGTCAAATCCTGTGTTCTTACTCTTTTTTCTTCACTCAGGCAAAGCCCAAGGGATGTCAGTAGGAAAAGGGCTTTAAGAAGATTTCAAAAGGTGGTTCTTAGTTTGTAAAAACTGAGTCTGAAGAAACCAGTCTTGCTTTGTTAATTTTTGCCATAGGCATGGAAAAATTGGCTTTTACTACTTTTGATGGTGTGTAATGTATTTCTTGTAGCACACAGGTAAAGCAGGAGATGAAGACTGGCAAGGAAGCTATTATTTTTGACAGGTCCAATTTATTGACACTGTTAGTAGCTAATTGACACATTAAAGTGCTGAACCATGAACATATTTACCCAAGGGTCCTCTAAACTTTTATTTATGTCTGAACCTCCTAGGAGAAACAGTAAATATTCACCCCAACCAAAATAACCGGCATATGGTTGGAACCACAGAGCTGAAATTCAGCTGTTCCTGAAGGTCAATACACAGTTTTAGAATAGGTAGAGGGTGGTGAGACAGCAAGAAATAATTAACTCACTCACCCAGAAATCATTTTCAATTATAAACAGCATGAGCTGGAAGACTGCTCAGTTCTGCTGAATGAATAACCTTCCTCACTAAATATTTCACCGAATTGGGCAGGCCAGCCACAGCGGGACTTGTTCACCACAGCAATCATCCAACTGGCACACGTTTTTAAAACAAAATATATGAAAAAAAAAATCACAGTCTACATCAGTAACGTGGAAGAGCTGTTAGTCCCACTAGGTTGACTGGAGCATTAGGAAGCATGGAAGGGTGAAATCAACCTTTTCACCAAATCCAGCCTCCTATTGCTTGGACCCTCAGTTAAAACTATGTACATAGCATGTGGCTGTGAGAGTAATTACATTTCTTCCCCCATGGCAGGGGGGTTGGAACTAGATGATCTTTAAGGTCCCTTCCAACCCAAACCATTCTATGATTTCCTTTGCTTCCTAGAAAGCAAGAACATTATATTTCTTACCAAAGCTTATACTGCAGAGAAGTGTAAAGGGGAACTGCCTATTTCTTCACACTCTTCCACTCAAGACCAAAGACCATCCCCTTTCCAAATGTTTTTTGTCTGTATTTGCACCAGCTCCTGTTAGAAGTTTGTCATGCACATATTAATCACCCAAATGAAGCTCCCAAGCAACAAAAAGCCGTATGTTTTAAACAGACAAGCAGACAAACACGCATTACTCATAAAGTCATGTTTAGCAGCATTCCAAGAGAAACCTATTTCAAGGTGGTTGGTTTTGTTTTTTTTTTTAAACAAATGTGTTTTGTCTTGCATTCAAATTAATCTTGTTAGATCTTCATCTATCTTGCCTCACTGCTCTCATGCTTGCCTCTTGTGCTCACAAAGAGTTAGGAGGAATTCATATCATATGACACTCAGGAAAAAAAAAATATATGCAAAGTTCTGGGGGCTGTCACTTTCACAATAAATGCCTCTGGTGGTATCTTGCAGTCTGCATCACATGAAGTATAAGAGGTTGCCTTACAGATACAGCACAGATTCCTTCTAAAAGTACACACCCACTGCTTTTGTATTATTTATAAGCTCTAATATCCTCTTTAAGCTCACAAGTAAATTTTTGTTTGGCTCTGTTCTTGCAAAAGGTCATCAGATCCACCACTGGAAACACGAAAACTGATACGTCCTCTTTTGAGGAGGTGGTTTCATCACTACGTTTCCACCTATGACCAGTAGCGCACAAAAGTAAACACAAAAAGATTCTAAGTCCTACAGACAGCAAGAATATTTTTGCTTGCATACAGAATGTGGGGCTGAGCCCCTAACGAGGGCTGGCCAAATTGATTTCTTGTACAGGAATGCATCACATGCAATTTTCTCTAGTAGCCACTTGTGTGGAATGATGGCCTGAAAGCCATGGGGGCAGCCCTGTTGCCGTGCCACCCTACAGCCATCTGGGGAGCACAGTCCAAGACCACTCCGTGCCGCAAACCAAAACAAGGGTAATGGGGAACCATCTCCGGATCACTCCTGACCCAAACTACCACACTGCTTCTGAGGAAGGAAGGACTTCTCCTGCACCCCACCACAACTGGCATGGTGATACCCTGATTTCTTACCCCCTCATTTTGCCTCTAATCCTCTGGCAGAGCTGAGTGGAACTCCAGACAAGAAGTTCATCAAAATTTAAGAGGTTTCCAATTTGACAAAGAAATATTTCCATAGGAGAGGAACTGCTCTGTGAGGCAAATCCTCTCCAGCTACATGAGGAAGGAGTGGAGCAGTCACCTTTCCCTGGGACAACAAAAATATTTCTAGTAATTTCCCAGTCCTGCCTTATGATTTCGAGGAGGGTAGCATGTTATCACTATATGTATCTCTATAGGGTTATTGTTTCTGCTCACAAACACTTCAGGGAAAACAAGAAGCCAGATCTGCCCTTTTTTTGCATCTTCGGAGTCCCCCACCTGAGGATGGAGCGAGGCCATTCCCATGTTCCTGGTCACAGGGAACGGGATCCAGCTTAGCCACATAAATCTGCGCAAAGAGGAAGAGGAGGGAAGGCAAAGGCTACTTGATGGCCGAGGGAGGTTCGGCTTCACGCTGACATACAAATCCTTCCAAGCTACGTGTGATGCACTGCAACCCCGAAGTATGCTCCTGCACCGGGGAAGGATCAGGCTGAAAAGGGGACGTGCACACTCACTGTCAGGCGCCAACGGGCTCCCAGCAGAGCCCATAACCGCAAGGAGGGGTCTGGGCTAGGCTCGTTACTGAAAGCACCGCTGGTTGTGTGGCTGCCCCTCTGCCCCGTCCCAGCCTGCCTGAGGGCTCACGTTACTCCCTCCAGCCTGCCTTTCATTCCCATTGTGCCTGGGTACCAGGATCTGGCCCCAGAGCATTTGGAGATGTTATTGAGAAACCCTGAAGCCAAGAATCTTCCACTACTGATAAACCGTCTGGCCAAGAGGATGGGATAAGGCTCTTCCAGATGTGCATTTTGGTTTCACTTCTGTCCAAAATGAATTAGCGCTCTCATGCCTATTTCACTGTGCAGCAGGTGCCTCAGAAACTCATTCCTTGGGCAAGTGGAACGTGTTACCCAATGCACAAGGTTTCGACGCACAAGAATTTAGAGGAAAG